TGAGATACCATGCCGCAGTGAAGCATGAATACCCCACTCAGACACATTATACTGACTCCGAGCCGACCAGTCCTTGTTGTACCCATTAATGCCGAGCGCCAGGCAGGGACCAAAAAGTACCATATTTTAACGTCTTTTTGGTATGACGCGGCCAGGGATCAAACCCACGACCTTCCGCTCTCCGGGCGGACACTCTAATCACTACACCACAGAGGCGGTCCCCAAGAGCTGGGGTGAATTTTGTGAATCGTTTGAACTCCGATTTCACGGGTATTTTTCATTGCGTTATTTTTCAACTTTATAAGTTGAATTTGCATTTTTGATGATTTGTATCTGTAAGTCCATACCGAAAGGTATCAGATTCTGCAAAGTTGTGTTTTACGTTGCATGTGACCTTTAAGTATCATTACCTCTGAAAAACTGCAACTTGAGCACATGTGCTGGTGTGAGACAATCTACTGGCTAACACAACTGACCGTGACACAAGAGTGGTCTAACCTCTGTAAGGACAGGGGCGGTGGGGTAGCCTAGTGGTTAAAGCGTTGGTTCGTCACGCCGTAGACCCGGGTTCGAATCCCCATGTGGGTACAATGTGTGAAGCCCATTTCTGGTGCTCCCCACCATGATGTTGCTGGAATATTGCTAAAAGCGGCGTAAGGACAGCCTAATGAATTTTGAGGCAATGTTGATATCCACGTCTGAGTACTGATTGGTTACCCATGATCTTTGAACATTTTGATATATGAAAGGGCACAGGTTAATTAATTTCTTTCACCTGAACAAGCAGAAAAAGAGAAGTCGTTATTTGGAAATATCCCTAATGTTTTTAGTGTGATTTAGCATTTCAAGCATTTTAGAATTCTGATTCACGGATGATAAGCTGGCATGGATTGATTTGGATCAATGTCTTTGTTTCATAGCTTGATATTTAATAATGTCAAGTAATAATAGCATGTCAGTTGACTTCTACTATTAAATACACACACTTGATTTGTTTGAGTCTGTAAGCTAAAGCCCATTTTGTCTTTCGCCATTCAAGTTAGTGCAGGGGTCCAGATAAGGGGCATATGTACGGATATAAAATATGCATGATACGGTAGGAAATGATTAAGAAAACGTAGCACATAGGCACCACAGCAATGCTGTACGGTCTTAGAATCATTTACTGACATATTTATCTGAAAAAATATTGTTTTATTGTTTATTGACCTGTTTACACAAGAGTAGCAGTGCTGTGGTGCATATATGAAACGAGACACAAGATTACTGGTCCGCCATTAAATTCCATTCAGTACTCTAAATGTACTCTTAAGTTCTTCCAGTACTCCTATATTGAAAAGATAAGAAGTACGTACTCCTAAAGCTGAAAACTTATCTGGAGCCCTGTTAGTGTATAGTTGGACAGGAAGCACATGCACACATTATATTGGCCACAACCTGTTAGTGTATAGTTGGACAGGAAGCACATGCACACATTATATTGGCCACAACCTGTTAGTGTATAGGTGGACAGGAAGCACATGCACACATTATATTGGCCACAATCAAGTGGCATAGTTAATGGTAACACTGCTCATAGTAGTGCTGGGAATTGGTTGAAATATCGCAATCGATGATTGCTTCATTACCAACAAACAATGATCGAAAAAAAATTGGTTAGCGTCATTTTTCAGATTTTCCTATCCAGGTTGTTATTACAGATATGTATAACATGATGCAACTTGCTACTTTAAAGTGATGACTTATATATCATGAACATAAACTTCCTGGAGTCTTCAAGAAATATTCAGTCATGGCTTTTCAGTTAGTAAAGTGAGTTTTCTATAAATTAAACACGTTTTCAGGCACTGACAACATCAACGATATGTTCCATTGTCAAGTATTTCAAAGACTAAAAAAGTAGTTCAAAAATCGTTTATGTTCGATTATGAGAAAATGTGATCGATTGCTTGGTAGTTTGGTCACTGCGACCAATCTTCGATTATTTCAATTAATCGGAACACCACTAGCTCATAGTAGCTTACAGTTACACAGGTTCCCATTTGGTATTATTGGTAACCACTCAACATTATTAATTCTGGTCTGATGTTGTGAAGGCATTACTTGTTGTGTAATATGTACTTGGAAACAGAGCGACAGACGAACTGTCGGAAATGCATTGATGAAAACTATAAAACTGTCATTGATTAATCACTATTATCTTGCAAAGTTATCTTACACAGTGGATTTGTCCAAAGTTTGTGCTCATGTATGTAGGTTTACTTGAGCTAACAGAATACACGGTAACCTGTAATTTGTAAAATGGTATAGTTATAATATCTAGGCACATTATGGATTGTCTCAGTCTCAGTGAATCCTACTTTACCAGACTTGCCTGTCCTTACGATTTTGGAGTAAGGCTTACTATTTTTGGTGCTAAATTATGACCTTACGATCATGCTGAAATTCCTTATGACTTCTACAAATATATGGTAGAATACTAGATATAGGCATGCCCTTGCTATTTATAGTCATTTACGGTACATAAAGTACAGGAAAACAGAAGTCGCACCATAAACATTATAAATAAATAATCTTTGCATCTTACAGTGCCGGTAAAACTTATTTCCAAGTGAAAGACTTTCAAAAACGTTAATTAGATCGGCACCACATTTTACTATTAAACACTATATTAAGATTTTAACCAGCAATGTTTTTCCTTTATTTCTTGACATTAACATGCCTTACTATCAAATGCACCTGCCTTACTATTTTTTAGCAGATCTTACTATTTTCTTTAAAAGGGGGTAGGCAAGTGTGCTTTACACACACACCAATGCTGAAAAGGATTGTGAACCCATGAACAAGTTTTATTGACTGAGTGAATATTTCTGTCAATGACTGTAACATAAACACTCAGTTGGATTGATAACCAATGTTCCGGTGGAATTCTTAGCGTTTTTTCAAAGTGTATTTATTGTAAACAAAAGTGGCAGAATGTCAAGCAAGTGACCTTTTAAAACTTGATCACGCATCTTACCAATGCCCACATTGCCTTATTAAGTCCAATTAATTTGATCTTTGTTGAACAATGTGACAGCTTGCCCTTATACTCTCAAATGAGCCTATGTTTGGCACAGCGTAGAATTTGAACTAGTCCAGAGTTCCATGATATCCAATGGGTACGCACAGGGAGGGACAATATCAAAGGCAACAACCAGGCTTAATAAATTGTCAGAGTGTAATCATTTCGTTATAAATGTATTTCCTCAGCATGTTCATGTGTCTGCTGTTTGTTTCTGCTCACTGACACATTAAGATATATGTATATGTCAGGGTAGAGACTGCGATCTGGTAGAATCGGAGATTCTACCAGTAGAGATTGCGATCGGAGTCTCTACCAGTAGAGATTGCGATCGGAGTCTCTACCAGTAGAGATTGCGATCGGAGTCTCTACCAGTAGAGATTGCGATTCTTTGCGATCGGAGTCTCTACCAGTAGAGGCGATCGGAGTCTCTACCAGTAGAGATTGCGATCGGAGTCTCTACCAGTAGAGATTGCGATCGGAGTCTCTACTGGTAGAATCTCCGATCCTACTAGTAGAGATTGCAATCGTAGTCTCTACTGGTAGAGACTACGATTATATGGAATAACCTTTGCAAGCATGTGCAAGCTTATGCAAGCAAGTATAATAAGTGGGGATAATGTTTTCCTATTATTTGCCAGTTATAATTGAACTTATTTATTGTTATCTTGTTAACTTTATTTGTTAAGTCTGTTTTGGAGTAAGGTATTTTGTTTTTGGTTTTTGAGTGGAGTCCAAATTTGGCAGCTTGGTCTCATGATGTAAATACAGTGTTACAAACCATTTTTATTTTTTATTTTGATATTGTTTACATTGAGGTGTTAAATGTTTGTTATCAAAGTCTCAGTTAAAAGTAGGAAGTTCATTCAGATGTATTTCAAAATAAAGTTTAGAACTTATGATTATGCAGTGTTTGCCATGACGCAGAAAAACCTTCGTATTTGACTCACAAATTATCTCAAATACGCAGTGAATTTATAAGCTCGCGTCATTGTTGAGGTAATGCTCGACCTGGGCTGTTAGTTCAGATAACTTTACTTTAGTTTAAGTTTGAGTACATATTGTAATTTATTGTTGTTTAAAACTACTAAGTTTAATGTTTGCCAGTTAACTGCTCAGTGCTGATTAAATTCCTGACCTGCCTTACTTGGACCTGTTTTTATTAAACAATAACAGTTGATCTCTTGATGAAAGAAGTTGACTCCCCAAAACATGTCCATGACTCCCTCTCATGACACCAGGGAGTCATGATGACTCCTAAATTTTTATGCCTAGGGCAAACACTGATTATGCAATTGATCTTGCTTGTATTCAGTTTTGTAATCAGTTTTGTAATATTTGTATATTTAAGAAATACAGTTCGCTCTACCACCATGTATAGTGTAATAAAACACACTTTTGCCCTGAACTATTATAGTTAACGCATGAGGACGCTTGCGTCTGAGTGCTTTAACGTCATAATAGTTCAGGGCGAAAGTGTGTTTTATTACACTATACATGGTGGTAGAGCGAACTGTATTTCTTTTCTAAGATGCCAAATTTAGAAACATACAGCCGATCAATCATCGAAAATAACTGTTTTGCGTCATTTATCAAATGTTCCTGTTATCTTTGTTAATGCACACACAAAGAAAAAAGATGTAGTAATTTGGGTCTTTTGCAAATTGCACAAAATCCATTGGCAAATTTCGCATATTTAAAGGATGATTAGTATGTTAGGAACACAGATTTCCTGGATTCTTTAAGATAAATTCAATCATGACTTGGAACGGGCTTGTAGTGCTTATGAAATGTAAATTTAATGACACAGACAAAACCAACCTTGTGTAAAATATTGTTGATGCAAACAAGTGTTCCAAAATTGGTTGTGTTCGATTATTAGAAAACACAATCGATTGCTTGGTCGTTTAGGCACTGCGACCAATCTTCGATTATTTCAATTAATCGGACCACCACCACTGTACTGAAGCATTGCCCCTTGGAAAGCATCCGTGTCAAGTTCACCCTGGGGTCCAGTGTTGTCAGTGATCATGCGTTTGACTGTCTTCACGCCAATTTCTGCCCTGCAGTTGCTGTGGGGGAAGGCGACAGAAGATAGTCGATGATGTACTGACCATGTGTGAAGGAACTCTCTGGTTGCAGAGGCTGTGAATTCGGGTCCCCCATCAGAGGAAAGTTCATCAGGTATGCCAAATGTGACAAATGTGCGTCGTAAGCAGTTGATGAGTCCAGGTGCACCTCCAGCAGTTCTCTCCACTATTGGCCAGTTGGAGTATCTGTCGACCAGCACCAGATAGTTGACACCCTTGTAATGAAAGAAGTCAGCGCATAGACATTGGAAGGGGTAAGATGGGTATACTAGTGGTGTTGGTGGGGCTGATGGTTGTGATGGAGCCATCTGATTGCAGTGAGCACAGTTGGTTCGGAGGGTTGTAACGGCCAATGTGAGTCCGGGCCAGAAGATAGATGCTTCAGCTCTGGACATCATTGATGAGATGCCTTGGTGTGCAGAATGGAGGGCAGTAAGGGCATCTTCACGTAGTGCTGGTGGGATCACAATCCGGTCCTTGTATAGCACAACTCCGTCTACCGTGTGGAGATGCTCTCTGAACTGATGAAATTCACGTAGTGCGGTAGGAAGTTCAAGGCGGGATTCTGGCATCCCAGTTTCAATAAGATCAACGAGTTTGGCCATGGATACATCGCTAGTGGTGGCAATTTTCACCTTGTTCCACGTGATGGGTTCCAAGGAGCTGATTGCAGATGCAGCAGACTGGAGAGTGGCATCCTCTACACTGTAGTCAGGCTCTTCACTGCATCTGATGGAGGCAATGATGTTATGACCATTGCAGTTGACCACAAACCTCTACTAAAGATCTTTGGGGATCGATCACTTGAATGCATCTCGAATGCTCGACTACGTAACCTGAAGGAAAAGACCCAGCGGTACAAATTCCACATGGTTCACATCCCCGGAGCCAAGACTTTTCAGGGTTTAAAGTAATGCCATTCCTTCCACAGATGTCAAGCCAATTACATGCCTGGAAGAATGATTTCTCAATGTCATCAGCCCACAGGAGTGCGTCATCCACACACTTGGTTTTGTTTGGCACATCAGACACAATCTCGTCAAAGCGTCTTGTGTATCCATCTCCGGAGGCGATATATCCTTGTGGAGCAGTGCGATATCTATATCGGCCCCATGGGGTGATAAATGTGGTACGGTGTTTGTCCTCATCTCGAATGGGGACACTGTGGTAGCCATTCCATGCATCGAAGACAGATTTCTTCTTATTCTGTGGCACTGATCTGGCTTGGTGGAAGGGGGATTGTGTGTGATGTGTCTCTCTAATGGCATGGGCATTGAGTGCCTGAAAGTCAACAGTGCGTCGCGGCTTGCCATTCTTCTTTGGACAAACGACCATTCTGTGGCACCATGTAACCGGTTCTCCAATTGGCACTGGCTCCAGCACACCTAGTCTGACATCCTGGTCTAGTCCGCTTTGACGTCTTTCTGCCAGTGAAGTGGGACAGGGACAGGAGTGTGGTGAGCAACAGGCTGGACGTCCAGATCGACCATCAGTTTCATGGGAGGTCCATCCATGAGGGGGAGAGGTTGGTGCTCGCAGATGTTGAATGTGCTGGACTTATAGAGGTCAAGTAGGTATTCTTCCAGTTTACCGCGGTTCTCTTCTGTTGCGGGAAAGGTAGTTTGGTTGGCAATTTAGGAGGTGGTCCACGCTTTGGGCAGTCACATTTCACATCATTTATCTCTGAAGCATCGCTTAGTGTAGAATCATCATTGAAGCTGTCATTTCTGGGCACTTCCCCAATTGTGGGAAAATTTCCTGTGATCATCCCAAGTGAGATACAAGCCTCACGACTGAGGAAGAACTTGTCAGAGTTGTCTGTGATATAGACCACCTGTCTTGTTTCAATTGTTTTCCCTGTTGGGCTCCTGCCATACAGCCGTGTGATGAGGGCACCAAGGATATTGATACCCCTGTTATTGGCAGCACGCATCTTGAGAGTCACCGGAATGAGATTCTGTGTTTTCAGTCCAAGTTTGTGTCGCGATCTTAATGCCAGCAAGGCAGCTCTGACAACCTGTGTCTGCCATGACGACAACAGAGGCTCATCTTGGTCTTGAGGATAACATTGAGCCAAAGCCTAGTCTGTCATAGTCTTCTGCATGGACAGCCATCGATAGGTTGAGGAAGGGCTGGGGCCGGAGGCTTGTTTAGTCCATGTGTCCGGCCAGCTGATCATATAGGTGGTGATCAAGGTGAAGTGTCTTCTTTCCTTAAGCAGCTGATGTCAGTGAGTGAGCAGAGCATGTCAAAGACCGCACCTTCATTTTCCTCAACCGTCCGGGGAGGCTTCTCAGCTCTCAGTTTCACTTTGCTCTGGCACACTGTGTCAAAGTGATTGTAGCGGTTACAGGATGAACACATGCGACCGAAGGCAGGACAGTGTTTTTTCCTGATTTTCAGGGATGCACTTTTTCCATGCCCCTTTCTTCCACAGTAGAAGCATGACTCGGACGTATCCAGTTTCTTGGATGAATTAACAGCTGTGTTTCTTCGGTAGCCACTGCTAACAGCTTCCACAGACTGGGAGTCCAGAAGTCGAGATGCCGAGCGTTTGCCTGATTCCTTGGCTTCCACAAATTGAAACACCTGTTCGAGATTCATGTCTTGGTTCTTGTCTCCAAGGAGATCTAACTGGATTTCAGGGTCATTTAGTCCACGGGTGAGTACATCGCGTAAGATTGTCTCTGTGTAGTTCACCTCCCGATGGCATCCTGGACATGCAATGGTGAATTTGCAGACGCCAGCCTGACCTCTTAGCCTTGCACCGAAGGAGTTTAACAGTTTCATCTCGATCCTGAGTCATGCTGTGGAGGGTAATGCGAGCTACCATGGTGTTCTCCTCTCTGACAGCAAGGAGTCTAATGGCCTTCAGGACATCTTCCTTGGATTTTTCTGTGAGGGATCCGCCAGCCCGAACGTGTGAGATCTCTCGCGCAGTGTCTCGTCACAGCATTCAAGAAGCTGTACAAAGCGGTCCTTCCCTGTGACCTTGGTCGCCTGGACATAGTCTTTCCATCTGGATTTAAAGTATGACCAATCTTCGCTTGTTCCAGCAGATGATATGCTTGGTCGTTTCACTTTTTCTACTTTGCAGAGATGGCAGGTCCTGTAGTGTGGACTGTTGCATGGGCTGTTAAGAGTGCTACTACCACCACAGAATCAAGGTCTTCTGTCACGAAGTCGCATGACGGAATAGGGCATCCAACGACTGGCATGTTTGTGTCTTGAAACTGTAGGTTAGAATCTCTGATGTACCAAGTTGCAGAGGTGAAAGATCTCCATCATAAATAAGTAGGCAATACTTTTTACAGATGACTGTTTATTCATGGTCGATCATAAATGATGGAGATCTGCAATGAGAGTAAACACATCATGTATAACATGGATAATTAAATACCATATAATCCTCTACTGTGTGTAACTGCAGTATAGTCAAGTAGTATCTACATACTGTGTGTAACTGGAGTATAGCCCAGTAGTATCTACATACTGTGTGTAATTATCAGCAGACGGAGCCCCATTCCTCAATGCGATTGTACTACTTTGTAGCTGTGATGATTGTAGCGCCCATACTTTAACATAGACTTACGACTGTAGTCTAGATCACATTAACTTCGTGTACGCATCTGACAAGTGGTAGTCTAGATCACATACATCGTGCACCCATCTGACAAGTGGTAGTCTAGATCACAACTGGTAGTCTGATCATGTACCCCTCTGAGTGGTAGTCTAGATCACATACATTCATGTACCCATCTGACAAGTGGTAGTCTAGATCACATACTTCGTGTACCCATCTGACAACTGGTAGTCTAGATCACATACTTCGTGTACCCATCTGACAAGTGGTAGTCTAGATCACATACATCGTGTACCCATCTGACAAGTGGTAGTCTAGATCACATACATCGTGCACCCCTCTGACAACTGGTAGTCTAGATCACATACTTCATGTACCCCTCTGACAACTGGTAGTCTAGATCACATACTTCATGTACCCATCTGACAACTGGTAGTCTAGATCACATACTTCGTGTACCCATCTGACAAGTGGTAGTCTAGATCACATACTTCGTGTACCCCTCTGACAAGTGGTAGTCTAGATCACATACTTCGTGTACCCATCTGACAAGTGGTAGTCTAGATCACATACTTCGTGTACCCATCTGACAAGTGGTAGTGTAGATCACATACTTCGTGCACCCCTCTGTAGCGGCTACAAAGTGTATCTCAGACTATAACCCAGGAGTAACTATAGTCTGTGTGGAACTTAAGTATAGCCCTGTAGTGGCTACAAAGTGTATGTCAGACTATAACCCAGGAGTAACTATAGTCTGTGTGGAAGTTAAGTATAGCCCTGTAGTGGCTACAAAGTGTATGTCAGACTATAACCCAGGAGTAACTATAGTCTGTGTGGAACTTAAGTATAGCCCTGTAGCAGCTACAAAGTGTATGTCAAACTATAACCCAGTAGTAACTATATTCTGTGTGGAACTTAAGTATAGCCCTGTAGTGGCTACAAAGTGTATATCAGACTATATCCCAGGAGTAACTATATTCTGTGTGGAACTTAAGTATAGCCCTGTAGTGGACTATAACAAAGTAACTATAGTCTGTGTGGAACTTAATAACCCTGTAGGCTACAAGTGTCAGACATATATAGTCTGTGTGGAACTTAAGTATAGCCCTGTAGTGGCTACAAAGTGTATGTCAGACCATAACCCAGAGTAACGTAACTATAGTCTGTGTGGAACTTAAGTATAGCCCTGTAGTGGCTACAAAGTGTATGTCAGACTATAACCCAGGAGTAACGTTAACTATAGTCTATGTGGAACTTAAGTATAGCCCTGTAGCGGCTGCAAAGTGTATATTAGACTATAACCCAGTAGTAACTATAGGCTGTATGGTAACTAAGTGCAGTCTGTTGGTAATTGCCAAATGTGTACACCTTCAGTATAGTCCAGTCTAACAACAAACACTGGTACAGAAATCCTCACAATGAGTTATACAAATGTTTGCCAACTGATGCCTGTTATTGACAGGCTGGCATGGTGTATATGTGTATGGACCCCAAGAAACAAATAGCATATCATGTTTTCACTACTGCTGACATTTGACGCCTTTAATTCTCCAAATAATGTACATCATGATCATGTTTTTCAGTAGCACCTGGTGAATGTTAGAATCGCTGTAGTTACCATTGTGTTTCCCAATTGTATAGGTATAGTTTGTATTTATAAGACAAGCATTATGCACTGGCAGATCCAGACGAGGTGTACATTCCTTCCACCCCTTTTTGAGACACCTTCCATGTTAACTCCATGCATGACATCAGACTTTTTATGTGCACCCCTCTTTTTTTCAATATACGGGATCTGCTTTTGCTAGTTTTTTTAAATGGAGGTATCAGTAGAAGCTTTCAAATGTTTAATGTTCAATAACATCAGATGATTGATGGGCATTTAGAAGTTGGGAGGTAACACAACAACGTATGGTATGGATTTACAACTTCTTTAATATTACACCACAGCGTTTCTGGGCTACTTCTCAGAATCAATCCTCCACACATGCACACCTCCACACATGCACATCTCCACACATGCACACCTCCATACAACCACTTCCTGACACTCAGACCTCCACACACCAAAACCTTCTCCAACCCACACCCACACCTCCTCACACTCAAACCTCCACACACCCACATCTCACAATCAATCTTCCAAACACCCACACCTCAACACAACCAAATCCTCACACTCAAACCTCCACACAACCAAACCTTCTCACACCCACACCTCCTGACAGACACACCTCACACTCAAACCTCAACACACCCACACCTCCACACACCCCCACCTCTCAAACTCAAACCTCCACACACCCCCACCTCCCTCACACTCAAACTCTCCACACACCCCCACCTCTCCCCACACTCAAAACCTCCACAAACCCACATCTCCCCTCACACTCCAAAACACCACACACCCACACACTCCTCTCACTCAAACCTCCACACACACCCTACCCTCACACTCAAACCTTCAGAAACCCACACCTTCACACACCAACCTCCTCTCAAACTCTCAAGCCTCCACACACCCTCCACCTCCTCAAACTCAAACCTCCACACACCCCCACCTCCACACACTCAAACTCTCCACACACCCCCACCTCCCACACTCAAATTTCCCTCCACAAACCCACATCTCCTCACACTCAAAAAACACCACACACCCACACCTCCACTCACTCAAACCTCCACACACTCCACCTCCTCTCACACTCAAACTCCTTTTACAAACCCACACCTCCACACACCAACCCCTCCC